GGTGAGATATCTTAGAATATTCTTTTCAGAGCTTTACTAGTTTGGCTGTTTCAGAAGTATGGATTTCTAAGTTCAAAATAATATACCAATTATTAAGAACATAGGCAAGAAATCTTTCTTGTACAGATTACCCGATTAATTTCCTCCAATGAAAGGCGAGGTTCCTCCTTGAGGTAACGCTTCATGTTTAACAGACTGGATGTTTGCAGTGGGTCTCGATGCATCTGCAGACTCCACATCTAAGGGGCTAACTGACTGCAATAGAAAACAGTTGAAAAGAAACTATTTCTACTGAACAGCAGTAAATTTTTCTTGTTGTTATTCTCTAAATAATGCACTGTAACAACTCCTTAACACTATATTAGGTGTTATAAATAATCTAGCTATGACAAGGCATGCAGGTGAATAAGCTTGTTACCTGCACATACTTCCCATTTTAAATAAGGGATTTGGGCATCCAAAGATTTTACTCTCCTTGGGGCATCCTGGAACCAACTCTCTCAGAATAACCTGGGGGTGACTGTATACTCATGAATATGAAAATGTTTGGCAGGCACCATGCAAAAAAAGAAGAAATTTGGCCATGACTTGGTTTTCATATTTAAAACCATAATATATTAGAGAGTTACAACTCTAAAGATGCCAGTATAAGATGTTGCTTCAAAAGTTTATGGAAAATATGTGTGAAAACATTGTGCATGGATTATTTTTACACCAGAGTACTCATCCTTTTATTGCATTTTCTGTGAACTTTGGCATTTTCTTGTACTTAAAACAAATACAGTTTGTGAATAGCTACCAATTGCTTTTTTGTTGTGTATGTTTCTTCAATACCATCCGTTAAAGAACCGTTGTTAACAGTGAGAGACTTTGTTAAATGTAGTTTCATATGCTGGAAAAGTGGAAGGATATAAATATGAAGTGGGTAGAACCCATATTCACCTGATAAATGTTGCGATTGTGTTTAATATGGTCATTTGGAAATTCTTCATTATAAAAAGATGTTATTATAATGTGTTATCTTTAGAATCAGGGCCATTAACTAGGACTTTAGATTTTGAGTTTGTTTTAAAACTGATTAAACCATATTAAGTTTTCTGTTGTTACCTGATTAGACATTGGCCTATTTTTAAAGGAATCACATTTAAGTAATTTGAATAAATTTTCAAAAATCTCTTGTCATTGAAGATTTACTGCACATTGGTACTCTAATAGGAACCAAGGAATTAAGTGACATTTTTGTTTTTTTCCTTTTGCTTCACTTAGGTATGGAGAAAATGAAAAATTACCAGAATACATCAGACAGAAATTACAATGTCTGTCTTCCATCCTTTTGATGTTTTCTAATCCAACTCCCAGTTTTCATTGATTGAAGCTCCTTTCAGATATATATATACATTTAATAAATAACTTTTGTTGGCTTTCAAGTAAGGTGACTTTTTTATTTAGTATAGCTTCTTCAGAAAGCCTTCCCATGAAAGATCATTTCAATCTGTATCATGAAGGCTGTATTCTCAAAGAACAAGCTAGAGTGAAATTTGAGTCACTTGCTAGATATTGTAATCATAGAGCAAAATAGGAGACCAGACATTGCTCTTAGAACGTGTACTCTGAAACTTCTCTTGTTCATATGTGTGTATTGAGTAATTTTTAAATGCAAAAATACGCATACTGTGTGGTGTGTGTGTGCTGTAGTTTCCTTTGTCAGACATATTGAGAATCATGGGCAAACATGTTTGAGTTTTTAAATTTCTGAATTTGTAAATAATGTATATTTATGTTATAACTAACATATGTAAACATGTATATTTGCTTTATATTTATTTTTGTAGCACCAGTATTTGATGAAACATTCCTGCGAATGCATTTTATAAAAAATAAATATGGTGATAACTTACGTTATCTTTTCATTTATTTAAGTACTTATTTTAAAGTAAGTTGAAGTAAACTCAATTTTTACATTATGTTGCCGATTTAGAGAATGACAGTTTGTTTTTCTTTTAAAAGATTTATTTTTCTTGGAAAGTCAGATATACAGAGAGGAGGAGAGACAGAGAGGAAGATCCTCCGTCCGATGATTCACTCCCCAAATGAGAGCAACGGCCGGTGCTACGCCGATCCAAAGCCAGGAGCCAGGAACTTCTTCCAGTTATCCCACATGGGTGCATGGTCCCAAGGCTTTGGGCCGTCCTCAACTGCTTTCCCAGGCCGCAAGCAGGGAGCTGGATGGGAAATGGAGCTGCCAGGGCTAGAACTGACACCCATATGGGATCCCGGGACATTCAAGGCAAGGACTTTAGCTGCTAAGCCATGCCGCCGGGCTCAGAATGACAGTTTTTTAACCTCATTAAAAAATTTTTTTCTTTGCAAATTTTGGTTTTGATGATAAAGATGCATGCCCATGTGGACCATTGACTGGGATGAGAGAGGGTCAAAGAATAGGGAAAAGTGGGTGAAACCATTGTTTCCAACTTGATTTGGCTCTTCTTACTGATTTCCAACCATGTGTATATTTGTTAAAAGATATTTTTATTGGAAAGGCAGCCTTACAAAGAAAAAGATCTTCTGTCTACTGATTCATTCCTCAAATGGTTGCAACAGCCAGAGCTGAGCCGAACCAAAGCCAGCAGCCAGGGGTTTCCTCCAGGCCTCCCATGTGGGTGCAGGGTCCCAAGGCTTTGGGCCATCCTCCACTGCTTTCCAGGGCCAAGCAGGGAGCTCATTAGGACTTGGAGCAGCCAGACAGACAGAAACTAGTGTCCAATTGGAATCCTGGCATGCGCTAGGTGAGGATTTTTAGCCTATTTTCATTCTGCAAAAGCTTCAAAATGGCCCCATGTGTTGGGCTCTACACGTAGCCAGCCTCCTACCTGTACTTTTTCCACTCTTAACCCATCCAAATCATTCTCTTCATAGGTAGTCAGGACTTCCTTGAAGAAATGTTTCCTGACATTCTTTGATGGTCAGTTTCCTTCACAGCTCTCCATACTTGTCTTTCCTGGCCTGTCCCTCAGCAGTAGTCATCTCTCATCACCCTACCCAGGGCTGCCTTCCCTGCTGGGACAAGGACCAGGGCCCTGTGGGTTTTGTTTACTGCAGTTTCATGATCATTGACACATAGTGGGTCTCTCCTCGGATGTTTACTAAAAATATGAATAAAGTTTTAAGGTTAAAGTTACATTTATATCATTTATTAGAAAAATGAACATTTACAACATAAACTTAAAAACAAGTCTGCAACAGTGAAGAAATAGTACCCAGAATTTCTCAAAATAATTTATTCCAGATCAGGTACAGATAAAAGAGGTTACACTCATCAAAATAAAATTTGCAGATGGCAAGAGGAAAGTCTTACGTGAACTGAAGCTCTTTTAAATGCACACCAGCAGAGGAATACAGAATGGAGAAGCACTGTGAAGTTACCCACCCCTTTACAATATGAACATGACCCCTTCTCAAGTCTCTGTTTAGGCTTCCTAAAGCATCCTCCAAACTACTCTGAGCAGCTTTTCAGACAACGCCTCCCTGGAGCCCCGCCCCAAGTGGTGCAACAAGTTTCTCACTTCAGTAACAAAGCTGTATGAGAAAGTTTTCTCATACTTTCAGGTCTTTTATTTCTCTCAATTTATCCTCAAGAGCTCAACTGGCTGTTTTCCCACAGAACTGCCTGCGTTCTTCCTAACCCCTGGTCTGTGTTCTAATAACATCTAAGGATGTAATCCTCCAGAGAAAGCAAAATAATAAAAAGACCACAACAATCATTTACAGTTTGTCTGATTTAACAATCTGGGGAGGTTCGGAAACTTCCATGGTGTGTTTTTGCTGGAAACAGATGAACTTATGCTAGAACTAAAGCTAGTCAAGGTGTTTAAAATTGTGTTTCCCACATAACTCTGCTCTAACGGAATCACGGCTAAGATGATCTTACCCTGCTGGTGGTGCTTATCAGATTCTGCAGCATTTTTGCCAACAGAAGTATAGTGGTAGTGGTTTACACTGGATTCACAAGACAGACTTCATCAAGACAAATAATTACTCTGCCTCTATTCTTTTATCTGTCAAATGGGAACTGTACTAATATCTTCCCCCAGTGAGGCTGCTGTGAGAATTAAGCTGTGTGTTATACCCTAACCCAGAAATGTGGAAAGGATTCTGTAAAGGCTCACTCTTAACACTCCCATGCTGAACATTGTATACTGGTATTTCCACCAGGCATACAGCTCCAAACCAAGGTGAGGTTTGTTTAAGTTTACAATTGATTCAAAAAATGTAAAACAGGGAAAAGAACTGTAGAACATGAGACTCCAGGGCAGTCCCGCCGGGGGAGAGGAACAGGGTGCACTGCCCCCAAGCCACAGGATGTCTCAGGCAAGCAAGCTTCCTGGGAGACTAAGACACAAGGTCAAAGTGTGCAGGAAACTCTTCAAGTAGTGAAGATAAGATAAAGTAGAAAACACAGGGACTTATTTTTGAATTTGTAATACTGATTATATACATACTCTCCACTCTTTCATCAGGCTTAGAGGTAGATATAGATGCATGGAGCATGCTTTAGCTGACCATATGTAAACTCAAACTGTCAGATTAAACTCAGCCCCAAATGTTTATTACTCTGACTAGATTGGGGCTATTGAGCATTCACCTAAAAGTGCAGCTCTAAGTAGCTGTGTAGGCACGTTGAGAAGTGTTATGTTCCTCCTGACACTGAAAAATGGGAAAAGGAATTTAAGGGAGCTGAAAAACAGTAGTGATTTTTTTAAGATTTATTTTTGCCTATCCATTTTTATTGGAAAGACAGATATACAGAGAGGAAGCTCTTCCATCCACTAATTAATTCCCCAAGTGGCCACAATGGTCAGAGCTGAGCTGATCCAATGCCAGGGATCAGGAGCTTCCTCTGGGTCCCCCTTGCAGGTGCAGGGTCCCAAGGCTTTTGGCTATCCATGACTATTTCCCCAGGCCACAGGCAGGGAGCTGGATGGGAAGTGAATCAGCCAGGATACAAACCAGTGCCCGTATGGGATCCTGGTATGTGCAAAGCAAGAATTTCGCCATTAGGCTATCTCACTGGGCCCAACACTAGTGATTTTAATAAACCATTTATTGCTTAGAGTAGTTATACAATAACATAATCTGGCTTATGTGTTAATTTCTAAAAAATCATTGATTAGCACTTAAAAGAAAAAAGTTGTCAGCTCTATTAAGTTATTGAAATTGATTTGGATCTCTTAATCCCCTTTATGATCAAATATTAGCACTATATTGTCAAATAACTAACATTGTTCTTGCTCATGTATTAATGTAGGGTGTTACTGCAATCCTAAACTGAAAACAGACAGGTGCAAAAGTGAAATTAGGACTTAATGAAGACAACATAAAATGTATGCCTGTTAAACAGGAATTTAAGGTTTTTGATTTTTATTCCAGATGCAAACCTGATCATATAAAATTTATTTTAAATAAAATACCATCAAATAAAAATATTTAAGTAGAAAAATATCTACAATTTCATTCTGCCATAGCTAATTCATATATAACCTTCTAGTTCTATTACATAGATACTGTATTTTCATGAAACCTGTGCAGTTTTTATTAAAAAGCATAGTTTCACACTTATTTCCTACATTTATTAAGAGTATAATTGTCTACCCTCTCATTAATTCACACAAAGCCTCAAAAGTGTTACTGGAATTCATTTTTGAGATAAAGAACTTACAAATCTTAGTGTTCTCACAAGCACTAGCATGTTCAATCCCCTGTAAGATTCCTTCTGTTATCCAATCTGTGCTCTTGTCAGTCAAAATAAGTGGCTCCCCAGCCTGACTTTCAGAGACTGGCTCCTGGCAGGAGCAGAGCCCCACAGCAGGAAGTTTCGGTGCCTTTTAAGTTGTTCTACTCTGATCCCTTTTACTCTTGACTGCCCCCATACCTTACAGAAAACGCAATGAGTCTTTTATAAACCACTGCCAGGAGAGTGATAGTGAGCAGCACGATTCCACACACCAGGCTGAATGCCCATCGCGGACCCCAGTAACTGTACACGTGGCTGATGAACACAGGCCCGAGAATCCGAGCAGCACTTCCAGAAGCTGTTAGCCAGCCCATGTACACACCCTGTGGGAAAGTGAGGTGGGACAAGCCAGTGATGAGCAAACTTGGTATTTTTAAAACAAAGATAATATTATGATCAAGCTATGGCAAACTCTGAAGAACCACTTTCTTCATCTTATATGTTAAGTTTCTTCACTATAAACACAATGAATGAACAATACACTTACATTAGCTCTGGAAAAATAAAAGGTATAAAAAGGGACAAATGTAAAGTCTGTTGAAGCCTCTTAGAGCTAACATTGCTTTGTATCCATGACATGCCAGACACTGCTTTGCATATATTGTTTCCATTAGCCACAAGTTTTGTTGACAGGTGCAATTCCCATTTAATAAGTGCAAAAGCTGAAACAAAGTTTAAGCAACTTGTCTAATGGTTTGGAAGCTGTCTGGTTGACTTACTGTCCCTCTCCGCCACTCCCACTATGGCATCACACACCATAATCCACGGAGTTTGGCCAAGAATGTCCAGGGCAGCCTTGCTTTCTACAGCCCCAAACTAAAAGCAACTTACATGTCAGAGGTGGATGAAATAAACAAATCATGGCATTTAATGATTAGGTTGCTCAGCAATTGTCTGGAAGACTAAGCAAGGTCTTAGAGTAAGATCTTGCAGTAACACTGATAGGCACTGGTCTAAAAACACCTTAATGTATTCAGGAAAAAAGAGGATGCAGAAACAATATAAGTAAATATGACTTTTTTTAAAGACACGAGTATGGATAACCTTGGAAAGGCAGAGAAAAATGTCTCAGAGGTTCACTTGAATGGGGGTGATGTGTTGCAGGGAAGTCATGAGGAACCTTCATTTTTTGTTACAGATCTTTCTAAATTAGCTGAATTTTGTTACAACCATCATGTATCAGTTTTATAATTTACATGCTTTTATTCTTAAATTTGAAAAGTTGAAAATATAATCTTTTAGGTTGAAAAGTTACCATTATCATAATGTCTTATGTATTCTTAATAGCTTGAAAACACAACTACTAAATTTGTCTTCTTCCAATAGAGGCTCTGAAAATGTGAATATATTAGTTTCATTTTAATTTATTTTTACTTTTTAAAAAGTCTGCTTTATCTGAGAGGCAGAGAAGTAGCTTCCAAGCCCGGGTGCGCTCTCCAGCTGCCTGTGAGTTTCTTGCAGCGAGGAACCAGGAACACAATACAGGCTGCCATGCGAGTCCATGTCCCCAAGCAGGTGGAAGCCAAGCCCGCATCAAACCTGCCTACTCCAGTGGGCAAGACAGGGTCCTAATCTGAGTCTTAAATGATACATCAATGTCCAACCCAGTGTAATTTTTAAAGACAAAGATGGTAAATTTATTTTATGGCCATTTAAATAACCACTACTAAAAATAATTAGAAGGAAATCATGGGAATACTCTAAGTTGTCCAATAATATAATAATGGTCATGAGTAAATTATAGTACATACATAAAATGAAATACAGTGTTCCCTTATAAATAATTCTGCATGGGAGACTAGAAGAAGCTCCTGGCTCCCGGATTTGGATCAGCTCAGCTCCAGCCTTTGTATCAATTTGGGGAATGAGCCAACAGGCAGATGCAAGATCTTTCTTCTCTCCGTAAATCTGATCTTCCTTTCCAATAAAAATAAATAAACATTTTTTCTTAAAGAAAAACAAAGGAATTAAATCTTGATCGAAATTAGAGTATAAATGTTGGTTCTTACCTAACATCTACTTTCAGAATGAGTTTCATGCAACAGCATTGTGGCATAATGTGCTAAGCTGCTGCCAGCAGTACTAGCATTCCATGTGGGCCCAGTCCAGACAGTTCCACTTCTATTCAGCTCCCTCCCAGTGCAAGTGGGAAAGCAGCAGAATACAGCTCAAGCACTTGGACCCCTGCCCACCCCGTGGGAGACCTGGAAGAAACTGCTGGCCCCAGCATTGGTCAGGCCTCGGCATTGGCCTGGCCAAGCCTGTTGTTACTGCAATCTGGGGAGTGAACCAGCAGGTGCAAGATTCTCTCTGTCTTTTCTCTGTTTCTCCCTCTCTCTTTACTCTGCCTTTCAAATAAACAAAATGAACCTTTAAGAAAATGAAACATAAGTTTCAGGCTTTTGTCTGTGAACCTGATTTTGAGTTAATAATTTATGAATTCATTACATCTTTGAGCTCTAATTTAGGGTACCATTTGTTATATTTGAGCATTTAAATCTTGTAAACTTTACCTAAATGATATCTTTAAAATGCTAAATGTGTTTTTTTAATAATAATTTTTAAAATTAAAAAATTTAAAACAGTGTGTATGAGAAAAAAACCGTCAAAAGAATTCTAAGTGTTACTAAGTATGCTGCATACAACTGCAGTGTCAGGGAAGCTGGCATACCTGAGGCTTTGGTCCGAGAATTTTGGAATATAAAGTATAGGACATGACGTTGCAGGCTGGATAGCCTATTCCAATGAGCAGAGCTGACACCAGGAACTGGGCCAGGTGGATGACGGGAGTGTACAGGCACCATGCCTGCTCAATTGGACAGCCAGTTGGTCCTTCACTGTGATCTTCTCTGGGAGACTTCCAAAGACCAATAATAATTTCCCCAAATGTGGTATTAGGGATTGAGTTGTTATGTAAATCTAGAAAAACAAAATAAATACTGTGTACTACTTGTTAATTTTCAATGAATAGGAGCCAAGATTAGAGTTCTGTATGGGTATACCTTCCCACTGAATGTTTGGAAATTGATTTCCCCAAGGCAACAAGATAAAGAAGCCAACCAACACAACGATGAGTCCTCCCAGAAGAACAGCACGCTCACCAATTCTATGAAAGAACACAACCTTAACGTTAAAATGAAACACTGTAACAAAATGGTGTCAGGACACTTACTGATCAATTAAATAAAGATTGCTAAATACAATTTCCCATTAAACAGAACAAAGAAAAATCACTAATTTTAGATGTAGGACAGAAAATATAGAAGCTGAGCAAGATTTAAAATGTGAAAAACTACAGTGCACTTTGGTTTCTTTAACTTGTAAAGGAGAAAGAAACAACTCTAATACCTGAATCAAAAGATCTAACTGCGAAATAAAACAACATTAAGCAAAATAAGACAAAATACCTTCAATAGTAGAGGAAATCTAAGTATCATCTGGATATTTGATGTTAAATGTTTTTTTGGTGTAAGTATTGTTATTATTAACTTTTAGAAATCTGTTTATTTGGGTCCAGCACAGTAGCCTAGCAGCTAAAGTCCTCACCTTGCACACACCAGGATCCCACATGGGAGCCAGTTCATATCGCCACTTCCCATCCAGCTCCCTGCTTGTGGTCTAGGAAAGCAGTGGAGGATGGCCCAAAGCCTTGGGACCCTGCTCCCACACGGGAGATCCAGAAGAAGCTCCTGGCTCCTGGATTTGAATCAGCTCAGCTCCAGCCTTTGTGGCCACTTGGGGAGTAAATCATCAGAAGATCTTCCTCTCTGTCTCTCCTCCTCTCTGTATATCTGACTTTCCAATAAAAATAAAATAAATCTTTAAAACAAAGCAAAAACTATCTGTTATTTGAAAAGTAGAGCTACAGAGAAGTGGGAAGAAGCACAGAGAAAGAGAGAGAGAAAGATCTTCCATCTCTTGGTGACTTCTGCAAATGGCCGCAATGGTTCGCGCTGTGCCAAGACAAAGCCAGGACCCAGGACTTGTTCCCAGTCTTCATATGAGCACATAGGCTCGAGCACATGGGCTCAAACATAGCCTGACAATAGCATGCTGAACTCTCTGCCACTGTCCATGCCGACAATGATGGACATATGGCTGTTTATGAAGAACTACACTGTAGTAATAATACAGGGGAACTCAGTGTGGAGAGGAAGAACTTAGGGAGGGGGTATAAGGGAAATCCCAGGACCTATGGAACTATATCATAAACTAATAATAATAATAAAACTAAATAAAATAAATTAAAATAAAACTAAAAATAAGTTTTCTGATCACTTTCAGAAAGGTGATATACTATTATTTGCCAAAATAATGATATGGTGCATAGGTATTAAAGACTTTGACATTCTGGGATACATTCAATGATTTAACCAAAACTTTTCAAACTTTACCATTAAATCTTTTTTGTTGCATAACATATACACAAGGACAATGTTATGCAAAACATATATTAAAAGACAGTTATAAACAGTTAATTATACAGTAAGACACATTGCTTTACCAAAGAAATGTGATAGGGTATAAAAATATACTGTCTTAATAAAATTTAGATCTGCTTGCAAACTTTCAAAGACTACAACTAACATATAATGAGAAAAATTATTTAATTATTAAACAAAAACAATTTAAGCTATTTTGCTGGTATATTCATTTGTACTGCTAAATTCCATTTTCAAAAACAAAACACTGAAGCAAATGAAAACATCTAACTTACTTCTTAGAAAGTATTTTAACTCCCATGAAAACAAGAACTGCCTCAACTCCAAGAGCAGCCAGTATAATCCCATCATAAAACACAGCTTGTTCTTGAGTCCAGGCATACATGTCCATGGTTAATGGAGTCAGAATGCTACGAAAGTCAAAAAGAAATTCTTTATTCTATTTCAATCATGATAATTTTTATGTACAAATAAATATAAACTTTAATAGTGATAGATATTCAAGAATTTGTAACACTTTTAATATTGACACCATATCTAAATAAGCAAAAGTATGAACACATTCTATACACAGGTTGTTATGCAAATAAAAACTACTAGGTTTGCCTACTTCTATTTTCGCTTTTTAGTATTTATTTTAACTACACATGTAATATAGCCATGCTGCACAGCATGTGAAAAATAGCAAAAATAAACCAAACTCATCATAATTCCTACTATGTTGGTTTGAAGTAGCTTCTTAAAGTAATTCCTCAATTCTAGTGATGACAGTTATACAACATAATGAATGTGCTTGGTGCCAATTAACTGTACACTTGAAGAATAGTTCAAAGGGTATACCTTATGTTGTCTCTTTCACTAAATAAAAGATCGCCAAAAAATCAGATCAGTACTAAGTTTCTTCTACTTTAATAATTTGAAAATCAACAATTTAAGCAAATCCACATATATTGACCTAAAAGTCACAACGTACCAATAAATGAGTAAATCGTGTTGTCAAATGGAAATAACACATAGTTTACAAGAGTTGAAAAAATAAAAGCACACAAAATCATGGTGGCATAGAAAAAAAAAGTTTCGAAAATATTGGGGCTACCGCTATGGAAAAGTGGGTAAAGCCACCACCAGCATCTGATACAGGTGCCAGTTAAAGTCCAGGATGCTCTATTTCCTATCTGGCCTTGGAAAGTAGTGGAAGACGGCTCGAGTGCTTGGGCCTCTTATTCATCATATAAAGTATAATTACGACAGAGGTCTTCCATATGTTGGGCCACTGCCCAAACTGCCTGAATGGCTGGGGCTGGGCCAGTCAACAGCCAGGAGGCAGGAGCTTCGTCCTGGTCTCTCACTTGGGCCATGTTTCTAGTCACATTAGAAGTGAGCAAGATCAGAAGTGGAATAGTACAGACTCAAACCAGTACTAGTGCTGGTGCCCCAGGTAGTAGCTTAATACACTATGTAATACACTATATTACATAACAGCTATTTGCTTCATAAATACTGCATTAAAAAATAAAGTCACTTTGGGGGGGGGAACGGGTTTTGGGGAGGGGAGGGGGGAATTCCAGTGCCTGTAAAACTGTGTCACATGATGCAATGTAATAAAAAAATAAAGAAATAAATAAATTTCCATTTCTAGAGAAAAAAATAATAAAGTCACTTTATAACCTAATTCACATAACAGAACAGAACTTACGTTTCAAAAAGGGCAAAGATGAATAGAACCACAAAGAACAGAACATTGGTGGCCACAACAGCAACCTGGTCAATACTTCCCTGGGGAAACTGCATTTCATCTGTGTGTGCTGAAGAAAACAGGAGAAAAATCATATTAATTATACAACTAATTTTTATGATGATAAAATAAAGTAGAATTACATATAGCAAATCTCATCAAAAATTTAAAATAATTTTGTAAGCTGTAAAGTAATTTGAAAGTATTGAAATGTATCACAGAAACTATTTTTAGGGCCAAGCGTGGTAGCTAACATCCTTGCCTTGGACTCTCCGACATCTGATATGGGTGCTGGTTCATGCCCTGGCCCATCCAGCTCCCTGCTTGTGGCCTGGGAAAGCCCAAAGCCTTGGGACCCTGCACCTGCATGGGAGACTGGAAGAAATTCCGTGCTCCTGGCTTCAGATCAGCTCAGCTCTTGCCATTACAGCCACTTGGGGAGTGAGTCATCGGACAGAAGATCTGTCTCTCCTCCTCTATGTATATCTGACTTTCCAATTATAATTTTAAAAAAAAATCTTAAAAGATGTATTTTTAAATAGCCCTGAAACATAAAGTGAATTTCATTCCCTAGAGATATGCTTCAATTATATATCTAAAAAAACTTTTAATTGTCCATTTTTATCTTTTAATTCAAAATAGAAATGCACATTATAGAATTTCTAATAAAATGATTTTATACCAACTACATTTACTTTAAATTTCAGTTGCAGAAATTTCTCTGCCATACCTACACCTGAAAATTACAACCATTTCAAGAACTCAGCTTATTAAATCAGCTCATGGAGACTCACTTTAATAGACATATATTTTGAACTTCAATGCTCCTAGGAAATTAATATAAAAATCCATATGTTATCATTTATATTCCTGTAAAGACAGAACCAGGAACTGATGGTAATTTTTAAAGTTAGAAGAATAAAATAAGCATGCTGAGTTCTCATCTTGAATTCTAGTTACATCACACATGCAGTAAAAGTCATTCCTGCTATAACTGAGAAATATGTAGCCATACACATCTACTGTCAAATATCAAATCCCTTGAGCTGTTTTATCATCTGTCCACCGACTCAGCATGAACCAGGGGAGTATTACAGAGTGTATCGAGTGTGATGGGAAATAATTCCTGCAGCATTTTAACTTAAATTCAAGCAGCCACATGTCACAGGTGGCTGCGGTACAGCACACTATAGCTCTAGATCTATGCTGCTCAGAGTTCATTGTGTAGGCAGCAGCATCAACTCATACCAAGTTTGTAATAAACCTAGATTCTCTAGGTCTCACTACAGTAGGCAAATTTAGTAAACAAAAATATAATAACTGTCAGTTATTGCAATATTCAAAATTTAAGCATAGCAATGCCCAGTGAAATATTTGTCTGATATTTATACTAATTTGTTGTTTATCTGAAATCCAAACATACTATTCAATTTTTTCCCTTTTGAAAGGCAGAGAAACAGAGAGCGTTTCCATCTACTGGTTCATTCTCCATATGCCCCCGAGCTAGGACCCCAACCCAGGCGACCCACATGGGCGACAGGGGCCCACTGAGTTAAGCCATCACCTGCTACCTTCCAGGATATGCATCAGCAGGAAGCTGGCTAGAGTCAGAGCAGAGCTGCACCTCACATCCAGGCACCTTAATATGGGACCTACAAGTCCCAGCCAGGAGCATCACCACTAGGCCAGATCCCCTCCTCTTCAGATTTAACTGGACACCCTGAGGCCTGCTCCCTCCTGGCTAACTGAATGAGAATCTGCATTTTAACAAGGCTCCCAAGTAATTCCTAAGCACATGAAAGTTAATAAGATACTGATGTATACTGCTATGCCCTTCTGAAGACTGTTTCTTAGCTGTTTTGCATTTCTCGGTATCTCAATCTTATCCTCTTAACTTTCTTATTTCATGAATAGATGGCTCATTAGTGTTTACAACCTATTTAACCCCTCTTACTTCTTTTCTGAAAAGGTAGTTTATAACCCACTGCTAGCACTACATCATCATTCATCCTGTCCTTCTTCTTACTTGGAAGGTTTTCAGACATTCTCATCATCCATCCCCAGATCCAACAGTATTTTGTGAGACTTAATTCATCTCCCATTCTTTCCACTCTATGTTGCTGTAGTGTTTTTACTGGACAACTTTCAAATCTGTTTCTTTAGCTTTCAAATTTACTATCAGACCCAGCGCGGTAGCCTAGTGGCTAACGTCCTCACCTTGCACACACTATGATCCCAAGGGGGTGCCAGTTCTAATCTACCAGCCCTGCTTCCCATCCAGCTCCCTGCTTGTGGCCTGGGGGGGCCAGTTGAGGATGGCTCAAAGTCTTGGGATCCTGCACCCACGTGGAAGACCTGGAAGAAGCTCTGGGCTCCTGGCTTTGGAGTGGCTCAGCTCCGGCCACTGCAGCCACCTGGGGAGTGAATCATGGGATGGAGGATCTTCCTCTCTCTCTCTCCTCCTCTCTGTATCTCTGACTTTCCAATAAAAATAAATAAATCTTTTTTAAAATGTTGACAACTCTCTCACTAGACTTGTGTTTAAAAAAAAAAAAAAGAAACTTACTACCAAATTTAAACACATTTACAGGATTGTTTTATATTCTTGGATAACAGTATACTCAGGTTAGCCCAAATTAAAATTGTCTTTTCTTTCTGGCCAATTTTCCTTCTTAAATTTTTCCCCTCTCTCTCATTTTTCTAGCAGGTGGGATGGATATTTGACTCAGTGGCTAAACCCTGCCTGGCATGCCCACCGCTCACACTGGGGGCCTGGACTGAGTCCCAGCTCTGCTGGTGATCGCAGCTCCCCACTGACTTGCACCCTGGCTCCAGGACCTGGCTCCCTGCCACCCACATGCAAGACCTGGATTGAGTTCCGGTTTCTGCTTGGCCTGACCCAGCCTTGACTTTTGTATGGTTTTGGAGAGTGAACCAGTGGATAAAAGATGACTTTCTTTCTGCTTTTCTGCCTTTAAATAAAGATAAACAAATAAAGCTTTTAAAACTGACAGATATCTTGACCAACTCCGGCTAATCAGTAATACTCTCCTTCCAGTCCGTCAGAATTCTGTGGTCTTGTTTTCTACAGAAACTCCTTATCCTTTCTCCATTCATAGTCACTGTCCTGGTTCAGGTCTTCACACATCTGGAATAAGCCCTACCTGAAATCTATTTGAAAGGGTTCATTGTAAAGGTGACTGTACTCCTGGAAGTCTGGAATCTCCAAAAAGACACCTGCATCCTGTTAGGAGCAAAACTCTTGTTTCCTGGAAGACCAGGAGGCAGGCAGGAGATACGGAGAACCTTGGAGTTTTTGGATTTGTGGGAAAGACAGCTACCTTTGAGGCATGCTATTTTATTACTATCTGGGTTGAAGCAATATGATCAGAACCCCCAACCCTAAATTTCTGTCTAAATTCCTGTTGCATGCTTTCTGCTTTGTGTCACTGCAAGCCCCTAATCATGTTCTTGCTCACTGTCATGTAGCTTTTGATTCTTTTACTATAAAAACCCCATGATTATTTCGTTTGGGGTGCTTCTTGCTTATGGCAAGAGGTTGCCCCTTGGACTAGACATTAAAATCATCTCACTTGTCTTAGAGTCTTGCTCAGATTCACTGAACCCCAACATCTATTGTTATGCTTCTTCCTAGTTCAAAAACTACCTGTAACCGAAAGCCACTTTTCTGTTGTGAAAAATACTTTGTACAACAAAACTGTGGGGCCCAGTATCATGGCCTAAGCAGCTAAAGTCCTCACCTTGAACGCGCCAGGATCCATATGGGCGCCGGTTCTAATCCCGGCAGCCCCGCTTCCCATCCAGCTCCCTGCTTGTGGCCTGGGAAAGCAGTCGAGGACGGCCCAAAGCTTTGGGACCCTGCACCCGTGTGGGATACCCAGAAGTTCCTGGCTCCTGGCTTTGGATTGGCATAGCACCGGCCATTGCGCTCACTTGGGGAGTGAATCATTGGATGGAAGATCTTCCTCTCTGTCTCTCCTCCTCCTCTCTGTATATCTGACTTTGTAATAAAAATAAATAAATCTTTAAAAAAAAAAACTGTCTGTTATACAACTTTGTAAACTCACTGCAGTAAGGACTGAGTTCACATGACAGGATGTTTCTCAAGCAGGATAAAAATAGCGCATCTGAAACAATGTCTTATTATTTTTTTTAAATGCACCTACTTGCCAGATTGGATACCTACTATGCATCATAGAAAAATCAAAAAGGCAAAAATGTACATTTGTGAAGTAAATCAAAAGAAAAAGATTGAAAAGAGAAACTCTACTGATTCTTACAATCAGCAGAAACAGAAAGGCACATGGGCACATATAATTGTAAAGTAACCAAAATCATTCCAAAGATCTCAAAGTGTTTAGAGTATTGGTTTATTAAAAATAAACCAATAAACCAAGGTTCTGTGCAGTGGCTCAACTGGCTAACCCTCACCTTGCAAAGTGCCAGGATCCCTTATGGACTCCCATTCACACCCCAGCTACTCTAGTTCCCAACCTGCTCCCTGCTTGTGGCCTGGGAAAGCAGTAGAGGACGGCCCCAAACCTTGGGACCCTGTACCCACGTGGGAGACCCAGAAGAGGTTCCTGGCTCCTGTCTTCAGATCAGCTGCTGTGACCATTTGGGGAGCAAACCAGCAGATGGAAGATCTTCCTCTCTGTCTCTCCTCTCCATAAATCTGATCTGCTTTTCCAAAAAAAAAAAAAAAACCACATACATCTTTTTAAAAAGATGATTAAATCATTTTAGCCATGATTTTATTCTTTCCAATAATGAACATAAATTAGCTCATATGGACAGGCCTTTTCTAAAAAAGAAAGAAAGGAATGGAGGAATGAAGGAGGATTGACAGAAAGGAAGTAAGAAGAAAAGTAAATTTAAGGACTCGCATTGTGATGCAGTGAGTTAAGCCACCACTTACTATGCCAGAATCCCATATTGTAGTGCCAGTTACTGTCTAATTTCTTGTTAAATGTCTACGAGAGCAATGGAGAAATAGCTCAAGTACTTGGGCCATTGCCACCAATGTGGTAATCCCAGATATGGTTTCTAACTCAGCCCTGGCTGTTTCAGTCATTTGTGGAGTGAGCCAGCAGATGGAAGACAGATCTCTCTGTCTTTTCCTCTCCCTTTGTTGTTATATCTTTTAAATAAATAAGTCTTTAAGGGGCTGGTACTGTGGCTTAGCAAGTTAAGATGCCACGTACAGTGCTGGCATCCTCTTTTGAGCACCAATTTGGGAGTGCTGGCTGCTTCCTTCCAATCCAACAACCTGCTAATGGCCTTGGAAACCAGCAAAAGATGGCTCAAACACTTGGACCCCTGTGCCCATGTGAGAGACCTGACAAAAGCTCATGGCTCCTAGCCTTTGGCCTGGCCCAGCCTTGGCTGTTGCAGCCATCTGGCAGTGGACAGAAAATCCCTCTTTCTCTTTAACCCTGCCTCTCAAATATATCAAAATAAATCTTTTTAAAAAATCAATCTAGATTAAAAAAATCAATCTAGATAATATTCTCCTTTGAAGATCTTCCCCGATCGCCCTCAGAAGCAAAATCTAAGTGAATACCACACAGGCAGAACCATTAGAAACACAATGACAGTACGTCAGTAATCTACTCAAACAGGTTAATAGTACCTTCTTCAAAATTAATACTTTTACACTGTCGTCCTGAGTCATCCACTCGATGTTCTCTTAAAAAGAAAAACATATGTTGGATCTATAAAATGTTTAATACCAAATAACGGCTTAAATTAATTACTAGCATTTTGTTTTGTTCACAATCTGATATACTTTGTCTTTTGAGGAACAAAGTTATTATCAGCTCAATATAACCAATATACTTAACATATAAGTTATAATTCCTATATTATCACATAAAATGAAAAATGTCCCAAATCACTCAAAACTACATAAGTTACTGTAGTCAATATGTGAAAATTTTCAATAATTTCAAACATTAGTTACAAACATTTCAGGATAACTGGATAATGCACTCTAAAAAATATATAAAGTAGCAAACTTCTAAGTTTTAGAAAACATCTTTTAATAGATTAGAAGATATATAAAGGAGCTTCAAAAATTTCAGGGAAAAAAAGAATTAAAGGTTAATAAGAATCTTCCATGAACTTTGTGAAGCCTGGTCATATACATTAATATTTACTTTCATATTTAATGCTGATACTAATTCATTACTCAAAACATTTATTTCATGCCACTCTCCTAAGAAGAAACATAATAACTCAAGATAAAACATCCAGTATTCAAAGACCTTCATGATCTGTTCTCATTTATCAGGTTTTCTATTATTTTATCAGTACCACATGCTGTATTTGATTAAAAATATGAGTATAATTATAAATATCAAAACCAAATAAAGACATCATAGGGACACTTACTCTACTAATGACAGTTTGTTAAATTTTACAATCTACAAAACTAGTTTTTAAATCCAGCTAATTACCTTAATACAGTAAGGATCAGGATAATATTTAAAACTCCCAGGAAGGCCCCAAGTAAAACCGGAGCAGTGTACATGTTTATCTCCAGCTTGATCGCATCCCATGTTATACCCTTCTCTCCAATGAGTGCAAAACAAGTCTGAAAAACTTTTAAAATAAAAAATAAAAGTTATTAGACAGCCAGTACATGCAAACCAAATATAAACGATTTAGCACAGAATTGGAAGCGACTGTCTATATCACACGTTCTCAACAGGGACAAGAAAATCAATTGGAAGAGGGGCAAAAACATTACTCTTTTGCTGAATAAAACACAACTATACAGACAGCATATAAAAATATATGCTAGATCTGTAATATTAAAATTATTAAAATTATAAAAGTTTATAATTTTAAAATATTAAAATTATAAAAGTTTTAAAAATTTCTCTTAAAGAAAGAACCTTATAGGTAAAAATACTGTAAATATTACTATGTAAACAGAAACAAAATTATATGTAATTACTCCTAAATTTGGAACTGTGATAAAAACTAGATTGGGACTGTACTAATCTACTCCCCTGATTTAGATTCCGTATATGGCTCTGTCAATAATTTGCACATTATTTGAGGATGAGGATTAAGACACCCTAAAGTGACTTAAGTATGCAGAATAGTACTAAAAGTTTGGTAATCCTGCAACAAATGTTAGTACTTCTTGAGTAGTTATCATTATTGGAAAAGTCACCCAATATATTATGAGCTACAATCACCCACCTATAACAGAAGGTTTTGAATGAGATCATCTTCAAAACACTTCTAATTTGGTAAACAATGTTAATTGAAAACTTCAGTGTATGTAAGGTACAGTGCTAGATACACAGGGTAGAGTGATAAACAGAAAAGACCCTGGCCTGTCCTCGTACACTTTACATCACAGCAATATTTAAGGCATAAACCAATCATATAGTTTTTCAGATTGTTTAAACTTAAAAGACTAATTTCTCAGCAGAAAATTAATTTGCCTTGGGAAAGTATTAAATATCAATTTTTAAGGATTTTTTTTTTCATTTTATTTGAAAGACAGAGAGACACAGATACAGAAAGATATTCCATATGTGGTTTCACTCCTCAAATACCTGCAAATAGCTGAGCTGACTAGCCCAAAGCCAGGAGCCCAGAATTCAACATGAGTCTCCCAACACAGACCTGATTATTTTAGCCATCATCTGCTGCCCTCCTTGCCCCCCGCCCCAGTGTGTACATCAGCAGGATGGTGGGATTAGAAGTAGAGTAGCCAGGACACAAATCCAAATTCACACATAGGATGTGACACCCCTAGTGGTAACTTGATCACTGCACCAAACACCCACCCCAATATAAACTCATCAAGCCAGCTTGTCAGTGAAAGTTCTAGAAAGACAGTAGCCTTTTTAAAAAATTGCTCGGGGATGGGTGTCTAGCCTAGTGGTTAAGACACCTGCATGCTATGTGAGAATATTGTTGTTTGAGTCACAGTCACCATCCCATCTTTCTACAATGAGGACCCTGGGAGGCGGCAATCAGGCTCAAATTCTTAGGTTCCTGCACCCATGTGGAAGACATGGACTGAGTTCTTGGTTCCTGACTTTGGCATGCTCCAGCCTGAGCGATTACAGACTTTTGGAGAAAGATCCAGCAGAGGAGAGCTCTCTATGTCTCTCTGGCTTTTAAGCGCAAAGGCAACAATGAAAAAAAAAAACCTCTCCCATTTTCATCAACCTTAGAAAAGACATAAAGGTAGGAATAAAGAGGGTCCAACCTGATGACTCAGTGGCTAAATCCTTGCCTTGCATGCACCAGGATCCCATATGGGCATTGGTTCATGTCCCAGTAAGCTGTTCGACTTTCCCTCTTGCTCCCTGCTTTTGGCCTGTGAAAGCAATAGAGGACAGCCCAAAGCCTTGAGACCCCCTGCTTTTACATGGGAGACCCAGAAGAAGATCCCTGGTCCTGGCTTCAGATCAGCTCACCTAAGGCTGTTGCAGCCGTTTGAGGAGTGAACCAGCAGATGGGAGATCTTTGTGCTTCTCCTTATCTCTGCAAATCTGCCTTTCCAACAAAAATAAATAAATCTCTTGGAAAAAATTATAAATAGGGCCAGCATAATAGCCTAGCAGCTAAAGGGCTCATATGGGATTCCTTGCAAGTGCCATGATCCCATACGAGCCCTGGCTAAAATCGCGGCAGCCCCACTTCACATCCAGCTCCATGCTTGTGCCCTAGGAAAGCAGTCAAGGACTGCCCAAAACCTAGGACCCTGAACCCCATGGGAGACCCAGAAGAGGCTCCTTTCTCCTGGCTTCAGATCAGCTCAGCTCCAGCCATTGTGATCACTTTGGAAGTAAATCATCGGATGGAAGATCTTTCTCTCTGTCTCTCCTCCTCTCTGTATAACTGACTTTGCGATAAAAAGTAAATATCCAGATGTCTGTTTTATTATCTGCATGACCTTGAACAGTGTACTTAGATTCTCTCGGCCCTGATGTCCTCACAGGATCAACAGTACTTAATCTAGGGAACTAGTGTCAAGGTAAAATGAGCCTAGCCTCACTGGATCAAAAATAGTCATTACCTAGAGTCAGTGTTGTGGTACTACACCTGAAGTTGCCATCTGTAATGTAGGCATCCCATACGAGATCCAGTTCGTGTGGCAATTGCTCCACTTTCAATCCTACTTCCTATTAATAGCCTGGGAAAAGCAATGAAAGAGAGCCCATGTGCCACCTGTATGAGAGAGCCAGAAGTTTCTGGCCCCTTGCTTTGGATTAGCTCAGCCTGAGGAGTGAAACAACAGAAAGAAGGCTTTTCTTTTCCTGTCTTTGCCTCTCTCTTTAACCAAAACTTCTTTTTTAAAAAATAAACGTTATTTATTTCAAATTTTTATTTGAGGGCCCAGCGCCGTGGCCTAGCAGCTAAAGTCGTCGCTTTGAATGTGCCAGGATCCCATATGGGCATCGGTTCTAATCCCAGAAGCTCTGCTTCACATCCAGTTCCCTGCTTTTGGCCTGGGAAAGCAGTCAAGGACGGCCCAAAGCTTGGGACCCCGTATCTGCATGGGAGACCCGGAAGAAGTTCCTGGTTCCTGGCTTCGGATCGGCTCAGCTCCAGCCGTTGTGGTTGCTTGGGGGATAAATCATCGGACAGAAGATCTTCCTCTCTGTCTCTCCTCCTCTCTGTATATCTGACTTTGCGATAAAAATAAAATAAATCTTTAAAAACATTTTTTTAATTTGAAAGTGATAATTACAAAGTAAGATGGAAAGATATATAGAGAGACATTCCATGCACTGGTTCAATCCCCAAATAGCCACAATGGCCAGAGATGGGCTTATCCAAAGCCAGGAGCCTGGAATTTCCTCTGGGTGTCTCACATGGGTGCAGGGACCCAAAGATTTGGACCACCTTCCATTTCTTTCCCAGGCACATCAGCAGGGGCTGTATCGGAAGTCGAGCAGCCATGACTCCAGCCGGCATCCGTATGGGGTGTTGTCATCCCAGGCTGTGGCTTGACCTACTACATCACATTGTCAGCTCCAATTTTCAAACAAATCTTTATAAAACATAATTAGTTTCACCTTCTTCCCTTCAATGATAAGATTCTACACTTAACTTCTATTTAATATTTGAATCTCAAAGGTTCCCTCAATTTAGATTGAAGAGAAAACAAGTAGAAAACACTCACCTGGACCTAGAATAAAGCCTAATGCTTGGCATGTGCTTGTATTCGCCATGGAACTTGTTCTTTCCTGAAGGGAAGTGGCACCAGCAATGTATGATCTAACAACTGCCACATTTCCTAAGGGGAAAGAAAAAACAGTAATCCAAAATGAAGGAAATTATCTACCAGTTTATAAAATAAAACTTAATTTGACTCTATAGAAAAGACATATTTAGCCAACACTGTAGTCACTATTTCTTCTTTTTTTAAAAGATTGATTTATTTATTTTTATTCTTTTTTATGGCACAGTTTAACAGGCATTGGGATTTCCCTTTCCACTCCCCATTTGTCCACCCCTCTTTGCTATTTCCGCTTAATGACTGAGGTGAACCAAGTCATCCATCAATGGAGCACAGGACTTTCAGTAATATGAAAACACAATGTTGTAGGGGCACTGATGCTCCCCTTTCTTATACAGTTGTTTAAACTCTGAGGTCTCGATGTTAATGGCTCATGGATTAAAGATAGATATTTGACCTAATTCAGGCCATTGAGAGGTGGGTCTGGCGAGATTCATTTAAGCCACTGAGGGGGCCTGATCTCAGAGAGTGGTTCTCAATGGAGGGGTAATGATTTATGCTCCAGTTCTGCCTCACTGTTCTTCCTGCTCCCTAGCTCAGTGCACGATCATTCTTCCACAGCACCATGCCCGGTGTCCTCCAGACACCAGACTACTGGGCTGCCAGACCCTGAGCTGCAACCTCCAAACTAACATGAAATAAATCTTTTCCTTCACAAGAAGCTCCTCTTAGGTAATAAAAAGAAGAAGAATACATACAGTTAAAGTTTTGAATAACAAAAAATAGAATGTAAGAATAGCAAATTTTTTTTACTATTAAATATTGAGGAAGTGCTTTTATTATTAAACAGTGAGAGAGAAAAAAAACATATTACCTGCTCCAAATCCCACCAATCCACGAGCAACCAACATGTAGTATTTATTATGAGAAGCCGGGATGTGGACATAAGCATAGAGGCAGTTGGCTGCCACCGAGATACAGATGGAGACAATGAGAGGTTCTTTCCTCGGCCTATGATTAGACCATAGGCCAAATATAGGTGAAGCTACCATCTGGCCAAGACTAAATGAAGCAATAACCCAGCCCAAAAAACTTGCATCAGCTGTCTGATCAATCTGTAGGAGAAAGTACATCCTTTAAGAATTGTTATCCAACAAAATTAAAAATTAAAATCTAAATACATCAGCCTGACCACAAACATTTTCCTATTAAATGATACAATCAATTTGAATATGTAGGTTCTATGACACTATTTCTTCTGACAAGGGATTAAAAAATCTGACAACACCATTAAATGTGCTAATATTTCATAATACATAAGAAAAAAAAACACTTGGAAAGCTGTTTTACAGTGATTATGGAAGTTAATGATTCATAAAATTCTTCTTAAAAAGATAATTGGGTGGTTATTGTGGTACAGATTAAAGTGTTGCTTGGCACATCCATGTTCCCTATCTGAGTCTGATTTGAGGCCCAGCTACTTTGTTTCCAACCCAGCTCTTGGTTGATGCACTGGGAGGCAGCAGGTATCAACACAATTGCTCAGGTTCCAAGGTCTGGGTTCCTGCCACCCATGTGGGAGATGTATATGGAGTACCTGGCCCATGGCCTTGACCTGACCTAGCGCAAGCCATTACAGGCACGTGGGGAGTACACCAGCAATGCAAGAACCCCTTTTCTTTCTTGCCTCTATCACTTCACCTTAATAGTAATAATTACACTATATTCAAAAGAGTTCATGGAAAAATGCACATTACAAAAAATCTAAAATGTTTTATATCAAAATATAAAAACTTTATTAATACATTTAATTTGAAAGGGACAGCAAAAGAAACAGATGCAGACAGAGTTGTTAGTTTCCTCCCAAAATGCTCCTAATCACTAGATTTTAGTCAGCCAAAGCCAAGAGCCTAGAGTTCCATCCAGGGGCCCACAGTAAGCGGCTGAACCCAAGCACTTGGGCCAAAACTTGTTGACCCAGATGTGCACAATAGTAGGGAGCTGGATCAGAAATGCAGCCAGCTTATCACTTTGCTTCACACTGTTGGTTATCAGCTGTGGCAGTGCTGTCCTAGGAGAGGTGCACTACTCAGCCGGGGCTAGGGGTAAGAGGAACACGGGACATTCTTTTGAACGGTTTGCGTTCCATGACAACTTTCCAAGAAATTTCTGAACTTGGAATTGGATAGAGACATTTAATTGCATGCTATTGTACAGTATTTCTACGTTCCTTAATAGTAAAGCTTCACGAATATAGATGTTAGTAAATATTTGTAAAATAAATTGGAAATGATCGCTTTAAAAAAAACGAAAGAAATCTAGCTAGGACTAGAACCAACACTCTGATATGTGATGTGGCTATTTCACTCAGCAACTTGAACACTGCACAGAAGCCTCCCCCAAAAGTTCTTTTTGTAAAATTTATTTACCTGGGCCTGGCACAGTAGCCTAGAATCCTCGCTTTGCACACCTGGCATCTCACATGGACACTGATTCCTGTCCTGGCTGCCCCACTTCCCATTTGGCTCCCTGCTTGTGCCCTGGGAAAGCAGCCAGTGGTGGCCCAAAGCCTTGGGACCTTGCACCCACATGAGAGACCCGGAAGAAATTCTTGGCTACTTGGTTTGGATTAGCTCAGCTCCAGCCACTATGGCCACTTGAGGAGTGAACCAGTGAAGTAGTGGACAGATATATTTCTCAGTATTTCCTTTTCTCTGTGTATCTACTTTTCCAAAAAAAAATTAATAAACTGTGCTCACTTCAGCAGCATATATACTTAAAATAAATTTTAAATATATATATGTGTATATATATTTATTTACTTATCTTTGAAAATCAGAGTTACTGAGCTAGAAACAGTAAAAGGGATATTTCTTTCTTTTTTAAAAAAAGATTTATTTATTTTTATTGGAAAGTTAGATATACAGAGAGAAACATCTTTCATTTGATGGTTCACTCCCCAAGTGACCACAATGGCTGGAGTTGAATCAATCCGGAGCCAGGAGCCAGGAGCTTCTCCTGTATCTCCTGTGCAGGTGCAGGGCCCCAAAGCTTTGGGCCATCCTCAACTGCTTTCCCAGGGCACAAGCAGCAAACTGGATGGGAAGCGGGGCTGCCGGGATTAGAACTGGTGCCCATATGGGATCCTGGCATGTTCAAGGCAAAGACTTTAGCTACTACGCTACTGTGCCAGGCCCAAGGGCTATTTCAAATGCTGTCTTACTTCCCAGATGGTCACAACAGCCAGCTCTGGGCCATGCAAAAGCCAGGAGCCAGGAACTTCTTCCAGGTCTTCCACGTGGGTAGCAGGGGCTCAAACACTAGAGCCATTAGCAGGGAGCTGGATGTGGAATGGCCAGGACACAAGCCAGTGCCCACCTAAATTGGATGCCAGCATAACAAAAGCTGTAACACAGGTCCCCAAATCTTATCCTAAGAGAATTATTTACTTGTTTCAAAGGTATAGCAATGCACGCACACAGAGAGAGAGAAAGAGCAAGAAAGAGCTTCAGTCCCAAATGTCCACGAAAGTTGAGGTGGGTCAACAAAACCCAACAAGCCCATCCAGGTCTCCCACATGAGTAGCTGGGCTCCACTTCCACTGATTTCCCAGACACTTCAGCAGAGTTGGATCAGTACCAGAGCAGCTGGGACATGAATCAGGACTCCAATATAGGATGCCAGTGTTGCAAGCAATGACTTAACTTTTCATGCCACATTGTAGACCCTAAAACTTACCCTGAATTCTTTCCCTACCAACATTTTGAAGAGTACGCTGCAGCAACACTTTATAATAAATAAAAAATAAATAAATAAAAAATACGGGCCTGGCACCGTGGCCTAGCAGCTAAAGTCCTCACCTTGCATGAGCCAGGATCCCATATGGGCACCAATTCTAATCCCTGCAGCTCCACTTCCCATCCAGCTCCCTGCCTGTGGCATGGGAAAGCAGTCAAGGATGGTCCAAAGCCTTGCGACACTGTACCCGTGTGGGAGACCTGAAGGAAGTTCCTGGATCCTGGCTACAGATAGGCTCAGCATCGGCCGTTGCAGTCACTTGGGGAGTGAAATATTGTTCGGAAGATCTTCCTCTCTCTCTCCTCCTCTCTGTATATCTGAATTTGTAATGAAAATAAATAAATCTTTATAAAAAAATTAAATTAAGTAAACTATTTTTTTTGTACTTTAGGAGCTTTACTCCAGTGGGGCAGAAACAGGACAGAGGTGGTAGGAGATGAGAAAGGGAGAGAGAATACAGTTCCTAGTCCTGGCTGCCCCACTTCCCATCCAGCTCCCTGCTTGTGAACTGGGAAAGCAGTCAAGGACAGCCGAAAGCCTTGGGACCCAGCGTCCATGTGGGATACCCGGAAGAATCTCCTGGTTTCAGATCGGTGCAGCTCTAGCCGTTTACGGCCACTTTGGGAGTGAACCAGCAAATGGAAGATCTTCCTCTCTGTCTGTCCTCCTCTCTGTAAATCTGACTTTCCAATAAAAATAAATCAATGCTAAAAAAAAAAAAAAAAAGACTGGGATAAAAAAACACAAAACAAATAATTTTCTCAATAAATTTATTACTAATTCTTCCTTTCTGCATGTTATTCTACCATCTCAAGATGAGAACAAAATGGCTAAATATAGTAGTTTGTAAGGATTAAGTTTTAGAAAATAATAGATTTGAAAATACATGCACCCCTATGTTCATTGCAGCACAATCAGTAATTGCAAAAACATGGAAGCAACCGAAATGCCCATCAGCAGAAGATTGGATAAGAAAGCTTTGGTTCATCTACTCCATGGAATACTACTCAGCTATTAAAAAAAACAAAATGCAGTTCTTTGTGGCTAAATGGGCACAACTGGAAACTATAATGCTAAGGGAAATGAGCGAATCCCAAAAGATTAGATACCACATGTTTGCCTTGATTTAACCTGTAATTTTTTGTTTGGTTGTTTGTTATTTTTTGAACCTGTCATTGATACTGTCTCAACCCAGATGTTTCGAAGAATGGAAATTGCATTATTTTTAACATATTGTTTACCCAATACTATGTCAATTAATTCCATAATGTTGTATATTGATACTGAGGCCTTGTTGGGCCTTTTAACTGACCGGATCTTTACTCTGTTAGACCTATCTTCAGACCATAGAAGGTCTCCCCAAGAGGCCACTGAACTTATCTGGACAATAAGACGCTGAACTTTATGCTAGGCATGTGTTTGCAAGCAATGAATCTCAACTGAACTTGAACTATGGTTATGCAACAAGGTGGAGGAATCCACCATGGGGGGAGGGGTGTGGGAGGGGTGGGGGGAATCCCCAGTGCCTATAAAACTGTACTACATAATACAATGTAAGCAACAATTAAAAAAAAAACACACACACACACACACAAAAAAAAGAAAATACAGAAAAGTGATATAACAATTCAATAAGCAATGGTTTTTCTTTCATAAAGTATATTTAAGTAGTTTATGATGCAACCACTTTGATATATTATCTTTACTACAGATGAGAAGAGTGAATAGGCATAACAATGCATTATATTTGAACTCCTAGTTTAAAAATAGTTTTTAAATATTTTGGTCATTTGGTTCTCATTTCTATCTTTTCAAATATAAAATATTTTCATGTCATGTGAATTTTCAATTAATTTTTATAATAGCAATGAAAATTCCATCTAAAAGTTAAGTCTGCAGAGAGTATTTTTTTGCCATTAAATTGTTTATTTTATTTAATTTATTTATTTTTAAAGATTTATTTTATTTTTATTGGAAAGGCAAATATACAGAGAGGAGAGACAGAGACAGATCTTCTGTCCAATGATTCACTCCCCAGGTGGCTGCAACAGCTGGAGCTGAGCCAATCCGAAACCAGGAGCCTCTTCCAGGCCTCCCATGCGGGTGCAGGGTCCCAAAGCTTTGGGCCATCCTCGACTGCTTTCCCGGGCCACAGGCAGGGAGCTGGATGGGAAGCGGGGCTGCCAGAATTAGAACCAGCGCCTATATGGATCCCAGGCATGCAAGGCGAGGACCTTAACCACTGTGCCATCGTGCTGGGCCCTATTTTATCTTTTAAAAATTGTTTATTTTTTATGATACAGTTTCTTAGGCTCAG